TTTTGAGATTTAAATTCATTTTGAGTTTTGTGTTTTGAATGCCCATTTTTGAGATTATTGAAAATTGTTTTCAAAAATAAAAAAAATGAAGTTTGGCTTTGTTTTAATTGAAAACAGCCAAAACGACTTTTTTGGCATTTTTCGTTTTCTTTGTAAATTTGAAACTCGTTTATGAAAATAGGTTAGTAAACGTGTTTTCAATATTTTCGAAAACTGAAAATGGTCTAAAATCAGCAAAGAGAACAGACCCGAAGTTTTTCTTCCCAATATCCAACACTATTCTAGCTGTCTATTGCCTTTATAATGATGATGTCATATCATCTTTGTCGATTCACTACAAAATTTTTTATTTTTTTTTTCAAGTTGGTTCGACTCTTTAACCGTTAATTATTTACTTTTTTTTTGAGTCAATGTTCAGATCAATTTTTAAAATGTAATAATCTCTTAAATAATAAGCAACAAATGATTTTCTTTTTTTGTAATTTCTTACTTGTACTGTAGTAGTTACGATTAGACGTGCTAATAGATGAACATTTTACCGACATTCATAGATCAAACTTTTCTAAAGTCATAAAGTTGAACTGAATCAAAAGTAATCAACACCAAAATATTAAATGATTGAATAGACTACTTTGGTAGAACAAAGTATGGTATCACATTTTAGCATTGGGACACTAATTCATTTATATTTATGTGCTATAGGGCCATCACTTTATATCACTTGATTTATACTCTATCCCTTTCTTCAATCTTACAATAAAATATCTTAAAGTCATATCTAAACATGAAGGGCTTCCTGCCCTTAATTCTACAGCTCATGCTATCACTATTTAGCCAACCCTCAACCTTGCTTGTTTGACTTTAACATAGTTGACTTTTTATTTTATTTTATTTTTTTCCTAATTGACATACATAATTTGACCTCGCATAAGGGTTAAAGAGACCGTTGATCACTAAAATAGTCCGAGAACTATTTTCCAAGTACCTTTTGGTCTTGTCCCAATCCCTCGTGAATGGCTACTCTTGAAAGTCGACCTTTCAAGGTCTATTCTGAAAAAGTCATCATCGATTCCTATAACGTGAAAAATCGTTTTATCAATGACCTATCGAGCATTAAGCCTAAATTTGCAATAATTTGGCAAGTTTGTACATAAGTTCCATAACCACGCCAGATAATTTACAATTAAAACATAGAGAATATATAA